CAGATGGCTTCACGGGGAAGTTTTACCAAACATTCAAAAAAGAACTAACACCCATTCTCCATGAACTATTTCAAAAAATTCAAGAAGAAGGAAGACTTCCAAACACGTTCTATGAGGCCAACATAATTCTAATTCCAAAACCAGAAAAAGACACTACAAAGAAAGAAAACTACAGGCCAATATCCCAGATGAACATAGACGCCAAAATCCTGAACGAAATACTAGCAAATTGAATCCAGCAATACATCAAAAAAATTATTAACCATGACCAAGTGGGATTCATTCCAGGGATGCAAGGCTGGTACAATATTCACAAATCAATAAATGTGATACACCACATAAACAAAATGAAGAATAAAAACCACATGATAATATCAATAGATGCTGAAAAAGCATTTGACAAAATCCAGCATCCATTTCTGATAAAAACGCTCAGCAATGTGGGAATAGAGGGATCATATCTCGATATAATAAAGGCCACATATGAAAGTCCTACAGCCAACATCATACTCAATGGGCAGAAACTTAAAACATTTCCATTAAGAACAGGAACAAGACAGGGATGTCCACTTTCACCACTCTTATTTAACATAGTACTGGAAGTCTTAGCCACAGCAATCAAACATGAGGAAAAAATAAAAGGGATCCAAATTGGAAAGGAGGAAGTGAAACTGTCATTGTTTGCAGATGACATGATATTATACATAGAAAACCCTAAAGACTCCATCAAATACCTACTAGTCTTAATAAATGAATTTGGAAAAGTAGCAGGATACAAAATTAACATCAAGAAATCGATGGCATTCTTATACACCAATGATGAACTCACAGAAAGAGAAACCAAAAAAAAATCCCATTTACCATCGCGGCAAAAAAATTAAGATACCTAGGAATAAACATAACCAAAGAAGTAAAGGACCTATTTGCAGAAAACTACAGGACATTTAAAAAAGAAATAGAGGAAGATATAAAAAAGTGGAAGCACATACCTTGTTCATGGATTAGAAGAATTAACATCATTAAAATGTCCATACTACCCAAAGCAATCTACAGATTCAATGCAATCTCCATCAAAATACCAATGACATATTTCACAGAATTAGAACAAATACTTCAAAAGTTCATATGGAACCAAAAAAGTCCCCGAATAGCCACAGCAATTTTGAAAAAGAAGGACAAAGTAGGTGGGATCACAATACCAGATATCAGGCTATACTACAAAACGACTGTAATCAAAACAGCCTGGTACTGGCACAAGAACAGGCATATAGACCAGTGGAACAGAACTGAAAACCCAGAAATGGACCCAAGGCAATATGCTCAATTAATATTTGACAAAGGTGGCAAGAGCATACAGTGGAGTCAAGACAGCCTCTTTAATAATGGTGTTGGGAAAATTGGACAGCTACATGCAAAAAAATGAAACTAGACCATCAACTTACACCATACACAAAAATAAACTCAAAATGGATAAAAGACTTAAATGTGACCCGTGAATCCATAAAAATTCTAGAAGAAAATGTAGGCAACAAAATTTCGGACATCATATGAAGCAGAATTTTCACTGATACATCACCTAAGGCAACAGAAACAAAGGAAAAAATGAACACATGGGACTACATCAAACTAAAAAGCTTCTGCACAGCAAAAGAAACAATCATCAAAATGGAAAGCAACCCACTGTATGGGAGAGCATAATTGCCAATGATATATCAAATAAGGGGTTAATTTCCAATATATATAGAGTGCTCATACAATTCAACAAAAGGAAGACAAAGAACCCAATTAAAAAATGGGCAGAGGAGCTGAATAGACACCTCTCCAAACAGGACATACAAATGGCCAAGAGACATATGAAGAAATGCTCAACATCACTAATCATCAGAGAGATGCAAATTAAAACAACAATGAGGTATCACCTCACACCGTCAGAATGGCCGCCATCAACAAATCAACAAACAACAAGTGTTGGCGAGGGTGTGGAGAAAAGGGGACTCTAGTACAGTGCTGGTGAGAATGCAGAGTGGTGCAGCCACTATGGAAAACACTATGGTGTTACCTCAAAAAATTAAAAATCGAACTTCCATTTGACCCAGTGATCCCACTTCTAGGAATATACCCTAAGAAGCCTGAAACACTAATCAGAAAGAATATATGTACCCCCATGTTCATAGCAGCACTATTTACAATAGCTAAGATCTGGAAACAGCCCAAGTGTCCATCAGTAGAAGAATGGATAAAAAAAGCAGTGTACATTTACACAATGGAGTACTATGCAGCGGTAAGAAAGAAAGATCTCTTATCCTTTGAGACGACATGGAGGGACCTGGAAAGTATTATCCTAAGTGAAATAAGCCAAGCAGAAAAAGACAAATACCACATGATCTCACTTATATACGGAATATAATGAACATAACAGTCAGAGGAATAGGGTAGACCCAGAAACATGGAAGTAGGGCACAGATTGACATCCGTCAGAAGAGGGGGTGGGCGGGGTGGGAACAGATAAACCACAGAACTTATATGCATGTATGCATGACCAATAGATATGGACAACAAAGCCGGGGACGGGGTGGGTGTGGGGTGGGGAGGGGGGTGCCAATGGGGTTAAAAAGGAGAAACATCTGTAACAAAAAAATAAATTAAAAAATAAAAAATAAAAGAAAATAAAAATAAAAATAAACAAACCTGATCCTTGTAATCATCTTTCAAAAGTGGAAGCACTGGCCGGTTTGGCTCAGCGGTTAAGAGTGTCGGTTTGCGGTCCGAGAGACCCGGGTTCGGTTCCCGCTAAGGGCACGTACCTCGGTTGCAGTTTGTCCCCGGCCCTGGTTGGTTGTGCGGGTGGCAGCCACTCGATGTGTCCCTTTCACATCGATGTTTCTCTCTCTCTCTCTGTTCCTCTCTCCCCCCCCCCCCACTCTACCTGAACAAAAAATGGAAAAATGTCCTCGGGTGAGGATAAAAAAAAAAAAAGTGGAAGCACAGAAGCTTGGAGAGGTGAAGAAATCTGTTCCAGGTCACCAGCTCGTAAGTGGCCAGCATGGGATTCTAACCTGGGTGCAACTCCTGAACCTGAGCTCCTAACCACTGCTCTATCCTGCCCGAGCTCCTAAGGCAAGAGTAGTGAGAACGAAGAGGAGGGGACAGATTCCAGGGTGCCAGAGAGGCAGACACCGGTGGAATCTGTAGGACCCAGGGAGACCAGGGGCCAGATAAGGGGGAGAAAAGTGGGTGAGAGTGGAGGGAGGGATGGGCCTTCAGTCCCGGCTGGCAGGGCAGGAAACTCATCCAGAAAGCAGCAGAGCCAGTGGAGGGAGGGGCTGAGGGCGTGGGAGACCCTGAGGCTGAGGAGGGGGCGTACTGTGACTAAGAGTTGGGGCACCAGTGGGGTATGAGGCTATGGTCAGAGGGGTGTCTGGGCCTGCCGCAGAGCCCTGCCTGCTGCCAGAGGAGGCAAGCACCCCCCCGCCCCCCCCCGGAGCTGCTATGGCACAACAGCCCTTGTGATCTTTAGGGTCTATGAATATGTCTGCCTCCACCTCTGAACTGAGCACTTGAGGTCAGAGACTAGGTTTACTCATTTCTCTGCCCCCGCACTGAGCCCAGCGCCTGGCCCAGGGAAGATGCTAGACACTGCTGCGGAAAGAAGGGGGTGCAGCCTGAGCTGGGGCTCGGCTAGCCAGGCCCCTTCTCCTCCCCAAGCCCCCACTCCCCTCCACATACCCATTCAGAAGGCCTGGCCTGCCCACCTGTCAAGGTCTTGGGTATCACATGACATTAGTTTGGGGACCATGATGGGGAAAAAATGGTGCATGTGTACATGGAAGGAAGTCCAGCTTCCCACTGACTGATTTACAGAATCAAGTTGCAATTTTAGAACTTCTCCCTGTGTCCTGTGATATAAAAGTCGAGGGGGAGATGAAAAAAGCCACACAGTTTCCTTTTCAGGCTAACGCTGCCTGTGGCATTCAAATGGCCTGTTTTGGCTTCTCTAGGAGGGTTTATGATTTTTCTTTCTTCCCCAAAAAGTTTCACTTCCACTTGTTAAGAAGAAGTCCTCATTAGCCTCCGATACTAAAAGTGAGGACTATTCCTCATGCAAACAAAGATGGCAGTTTTCGTTGAAGAAAACAGGCTGAAATCCAGCCCAAAGTGTTAAGTGGGAGGCAATGCTCGGTGGGCTGACCCCTGGACTGGCCCCTGAGTGCCCTGTGCACTCTGGCCTTTGAAGTAGAGAGGCCAGTGTGAGTGGGGTCAGGTGGCCACTCCCATCAGCTGTCACAACAGATTTCACCAAGAGTCAGTGAGATTGTCTATCGGCCTGGCTGATGGAGCAGCACCAGACTGGTAGCTCACCAGCCACAGGCATTTATTTCTCACAGCTCTGGATGCTGGAAGCCCGACGCCAGGGTGCCGGCACCGTCAGGTTCTGCTGAGGGCTTAGCCTGCTGTGTCTCCTCACAGAAGGAGGATGTGGGAACTCTCAGGGGTCCCTTTTCCAAGGACACTAGAGCTATCATGAGGGCTCTACTTGTGACCTAATTACCTCTCGAAGGCCCCATCTCCTAGTCCTACATTGGGGATTAGGATTTCAGCAAATGAACTGGAGGGAGACACAGATATTCAGTCCCCAACAGTGCCTGAGGTCTAAGGGACAAGATTCTGCGGCAGCCTGTTGTGGGGGAGGGTTGGAAGGCAGCTATGAGGAGTGACCAGTCTGGCTGTGACCTGGCTCCATTTCCCTGTCTGGACAGGACGCGTGGCCCCTCCTCTCAGGCCAAACCACAAGTCCCTGTAACCAGTGGGCACAGTCAGAACTGTTTGAAGACAGGCCGGCTTGCCTGGGGGACAGTGACCTTCTGGTTGCAAGGAGTTTCTGGGCAGAGCCAGGTGACACATGGCGGGCTTGCTGCAGAGGGGCTTGAGTTTTGGAGAGGAGACTAGTCCTAGGATTTCTGGACCTTTTCCTAGTGTCTTTTTCCTCCAGAGCACCTTACCTTGCCCGAATCGAGCCGTCCGGGCCACCTCCTGGGCGCCACGAAAGCCCAGCATGCGGCACACCACGTCCCCGTCCTTCTTGTCCCAGCCGTCATCACACACGGTGCCCCAGCGCCGGTCGTGGTACACCTCCACTCGGCCCTCATGCGGGCCCGAGCCATTCACCAGCCGGATCATCAGCGCCTCCAAGCCACCTGTCGGGGGCAGCCCACAGTCAGTCCTCTGCTCTGGATACCCCAGGCCCCCTGGGATCGTCCCTGACGCCCCTCTACCAACCCCTCATCCCCCGCATAGGGAAGAGGGGCTGGGGCTACAGCCACAACCAAAACCGTGACCAGCAGGAATCATGGTGTGTTGCCACTGCCCTTTATCAACCGCCTTCCCTCCCCTCTTATTTTCTTTTAATACAATTTATTTTCTATATTTTTTAAAATTACAGTTTACGTTCAATATTATCTTGTATTCATTTCAGGTGACAGCACAGTGGTCAGACAATCGTACACTTCACAAAGGGCTCCCCCATAGCTCCAGGACCCGCCTGGCACCGTGCATAGCACTTACAATGTTACTGACTCTGTTCCCTATGCCACACTCTACACCCCGGTGACTACTCTGTAACTACCAATTTGTACTTCTTAAGCCCTTAACCCTTTTCATCCAGTCCCTCAGTGTCCCCTGTTACCCCGGACGACCATCAGTCTGTTCTCTGTATCTATGAGAACAGACTCTACTTTTATAGAGCAGTTTTAGGTTCACAGCAAAATTGACAGGAGGGTACAGAGGTTTCCCATACACACTCTACCCCCCCCACCACCACATGCACAGTCTCTCCCATTATCGATATCTCCCCAAAAGTCTTGCCTTAGTTGCAATCGGCAAACCTACATGGACACACCATACTCACCCAAAGTCCTTAGTTTACAGTAGGGTCGCTCTTTGGTGTTGTGCATTCTATGTGTTTGGACAAATGTATCCACTCCCTATAGTATTATATAGATTAGTTTCACTGCCCTAAAAATCCACTGTGCTCTGCCTGTGAAAATGCAGAGTTCTGGGTCCAATCAGACCTACTGGGTCAGCATCTTGGTGGCAGCAGTCAGGGATCTATATTTTTCACGTGTCCCAAAATTCTGAGATCACATATGTGTGTGGACTGCCGGGAGTGACAGGCTCGGATGTCTGAAATGCATCTTTCAGCTCTGGTGTTCGAGATTCCAAGGCCAAGGAAGATGTTTTGTTTTGTTTGTAGCCAGAAGTCACCTAGGACATGTAGGGTGGAGGTGGGGACACTGTACTCTGACACGGGGACAAGTAGGTGATACGATGCAGGAAAACCCCTGTGTGCACTGCCAGAGAACACAGCAGACCTGATGGAGTTCTGCTCCCAATAAGTACTGCAACCTTGGACTTTTCCTTTTTTTTTTGGCCAGGTGGACTAGGGGATTCCTGCTTCCAATGACTGTGACTTGGCAAAGACCTTTGTAGGTTCCTGGAGGAGACGGCAGATGTGATAAACCCCACATGAGAAAGGAGAGAAGCCAGAACTGGCCACGAGCCTGTTCCATGCTGCCCAGGCGGGGAAAGCCCAGCATATCTGCACGGTGCACCAGAGAAGTCACCCGGAAACCACACCATTCCCAAGGTGCTGAAACATTGCAAGCGGCAGCTTTCAGAGGCCCCTCAAAACGTTTCATGCCGTTTTCCGCACGTCCTGCATCTCTCACCATCTTCTCCACACGAACTTCCTGAACACACAGACTCCCACTATGTTGTCAATAAAGGCTGAGGATGAGCAAGAGAACACGGGATCTGGAGGAGAACCTGGAGAGAAGCCAGAAGGCAGAGGCTGGGTCCCGGACAGAAAGCCCTGCAGCGGTAACGACGTGCTAACCGGGAGCCCTGGCCTCTGGCTGGATGGGCTCGGTCCTGGGCAGGTTGGCCGACGCCGAGATGTCAGCCTTGATTTCGCACAGACCTGCCTCACCTCTGTCAGCACCCTGTCAAGGAGGCTGCGGGCCACCTCAGGCCAGGAGGCCTCCAACAGAAGCCTCGGTGTGGGGTTATAAGCAGAGGGAAAAATGGCAGGAAGACACTGTGAGTCCAGCAACCCAGGCAGAGTTCACAGTATCGGGTCAGAATAGGAAGAGGTTGGAGGGGGGCAGCCAGGACTCACGTGCAGAGATTGTCTCTCATCCTCTGCTCTGGCCAGCCTGAGCTCACTCCATTCGCTTCTCTGGTGAGTGAAATCGGTACCTGACCATCTCTTAGGGGCCTGATCCTATTCTGGGAGCTGTGGGTACATCCAGGAACAAAGTCTCTGCCTTTATGGACTGATATTTTAGTGGGACAATAAAGCTGAAAACCAAATACAAATATAACTATGGCCAAGTATTGGTGAGTGCATTGATGGGAACAGAAACTGAAAGGGAATGGAGAGTGAATGGAGGTGCCATCTCGGATGGGGAAACTTGCACCCTTATAGCAGGGACACCCAGATGTTCACAGGGCAAGGCCTCTGTTGTTTTCCCTGTTGCCTCCGATCTGGGGTCACAGGTTCCCCTCTTTTACACAGAGAAGCAGGCAGAAAAGAATCCCTTCATATCAAAGCCCAGACCAGAATCGGCATTTCTTTGTCCTACTGTGAAACCAGATGGAAGGAAGCTGGCGTAAGGAACCCTGGGAACTGTCTCTTTCTACCTGGGCCACCTCCTTGCTTTCTTCCAGATCAGAGGGTTTCATCGTTTTGCTATCAGGTTTTCTGGAACATCGGTGGTTCTAACCACTGCTTGGAGCTTTCTGCCTAGCTACAGCACCGGACCATAGAACCCACCTCCTCATTTCCTGGCATGCCTTACCCGCCCTGCCCATCACCCAAATCACTCCTGGGGCCAAGCACGAGGACTTCATCCTCTCTCCTGAAGTAGAGCCCAGGTCTGGCTCAGTCCTAAACTGGCCCCTCCGGAAAGAGGGTTGAGCTGAGGCACCAACGGGGTCAGATCATGGAGAAGAACAGACATGGCATCTGGACAAGGAAGCCTTGCATTTGCTGGGGTTATCTCTTGCAACAACTTCCTTAAGCTTAGTTGTGGGCTACAGATTATCACTATTAGTGCATGGAGCTACCTTTAGGTTACAGTCCCATAGTCTTTGGGCTTTTCTAATCATCACAAATGATGGAGAAGCCTTGAATCAGCTAGCAGATGGCTGGAGATCACATAATCCAAACTTTTCATGTGATATGTAAGAGAACAGGGTCCAGAGAGGGGATGTGTCTTGCCCAAGGTCATCCCACATTAGTAGTAGAAGAGCTGGGGCCTGAACTTGAGGCTTAACCCTTAAGCCAATTCTTTTTATACCTTCTCTTCTCTCCCAGTGTCCTTTATGGTTGATGAGATCTCTGGGCAGGGTCCACTAATTTTGCTTCATGACTTTGATGCAAATTACGTTAAAACAATTACATTAACCCTTGAACTGTAATGCTTCTACCCCGAATTCATAGAAACAGTTTGGCTTCTCTTAAGTCTCCTAAAAGGACCAAGGAGGCAGCATGCCCTTGGGAACTACTGAGTTTGTATTGAAAATAAACTTGTCCAAGAAAGATAAGCCAGACTTAGCTTTTGAGGGCTGTGATAATATTCACTGAAGTCAGGGTCATTCTACTTCCTGTATACAGATGCATTATCTTTATTAATTCTTTATAGGGATCTTTATCAATGTATGTGCTTCTTTTTCTATTGCTCATTTACTTATCTATCCAGATGCACTTAGGGAATCCCGCCATATTCCAAACGTGTACCAGATGCTGAGGATGTATGAATAAATAAGTGTTGTATTTGTCCTTGAGGCTTTCTAGCTAAGAGCACTGGGTATCAGAGCTGGTAGAGACCTTGGGACTGCCCAGTCCAAACCCCTCATCTAGAAATAACAAGATAGAATTTTAAAGAGGGGAAGTAACCAGCTGTTACTGGGATGCCAGGTCCCTCTCTTTCTAGACCACTGGGTCTTTCCAATGCCGGCCACTTTCAATACTGCCTAAACCATACCACAGAGTTAAGCTGGGTTGTGGTTCAACCAGTAGGGCCGAGATGGAGGCAGGCTGGCACTCAGGCCAGAGGAACTTCCTGAGAGAGCTCAAGGAAAGCTGCCCCTGAGGGTTATATGTACATAGCTTATTTCCCCCTGGGAAGAACTCCTTGCAAAGAGAGTTCTTTTTTATTTGTCCACGACCCCTCAATTCTTTTTTTTTTTTTTATCCTCACCCGAGGACATTTTTCCATTTTTTGTTCAGGTAGAGTGGGAGGGAAGAGAGAGAAACATCGACGCGAAAGGGACACATCGAGTGGCTGCCACCCGCACAACCGACCAGGGCCGGGGACAAACTGCAACCGAGGTACGCACCCTTAGCAGGAACCGAACCCGGGTCTCTCAGGACCTCAGGCCGACGCTCTAACCGCTGAGCCAAACTGGCCAGGGCCCCCTCAATTCTTAATATTATGCTTGGCTGGCTGAAAACGCTAAGTAAATGTTTGATGAACAGATGGGATGGAGACCAGATGGATGGTTAGGAGCATGACTTTGTTAGTGGGTGTGGTCGGAACCCCCAGCCGAATGCCTCACGGTTTCTGTATCTCTCTGGTTCCAGTCCTAATGTGTGGTGCCTGGCTGTTGAGAACGGATGCTGTGCCCACCCACTGGCCCCACGGCCCGGGCAGGAGTGGTGGTGCTCCAGGATGGAGATGGTGCACTCACTCTTCACAGCGTCACTGGGGGTCCTGATTCTGGGTTTCATCTATTTGTGCTGCCCTTCTGTAAATCATTGTAGATCCCCTATTATTGGTCGATCTTTAAACATGTATTGACCCAGCCATGGGGACACAGAGGTATTAACCCTGCTTCTTTCTGGACATAAAAATAGTGCAAGACAATCCAAGATGCCCCTGCTAGGTGCTGCAGGAGGGGATCGGAGGCAGGCAGCGAGGGTGGCCGGGAGAGCAGTGAGCCAGCAGGAGGGGAGGGCACGGGGGCTGCTCAGGGCATGCTGCCAGTGTTCTCATGTCTTAGAGGCATGGAGAGCTCTCTCCTCATTTCTTCACTGGTCACACTCACTCCCTAGGGCTGTTAAGGGGATCAGTGACAACGATTCTCTCCTTGGTCAAACGCTAGCCAGGCTCCTCCGAGCCTTCTCATCAACTAG